GCTGACTGTCGCGAGAGGTGCTTATGAAGTTTCCAGAGCTGCCTGTGTGATGGTGTTGTTCCATTCCGTGCCGGGAGATACGGAATTGTGTTTCTCCTGTTGCGTTTTGTTCATCTCTGGTTACAAAATGGAGGAGGCTTTCTTTGTTTCTAAATAGCTTTGTAGGTTAGTGTTGGAGTTTTGATTCCAGGACGAGAGCCTTATGCCTTTTCTTTTAGTTTCTAAATCTTATTTTCAATATTTACTCACTGCTGCTTTTGTGTGATCTCTTACTGCTTATCTACCAAACTGCTAGCTTACTGCAGACTTATTTTCAATTTGGCAACAATTGAATAGTCTGGCTAGCCTGTGCCAAAGACTGCGACGATGTAGATGTGGTGGTGCTGAGTGGAGGGGAGACGGGTTAGAGTCAGAGCTGGCAGGGTAGGGGATGCGGTTTCGCATCCATAGCAAGGTTGATGCAAAGGTGATGCGAGTTGGGGAGTTAGGGTCTGGGGGTATGTATCACCAAAGGCTTGGGGGTTTCGAGGAAATGCTTTATCGCCTCCAGTCTTCGTGGCAGTAGAGCTAGCGGAATGGAGGAGCCGTCCGGTTCTCTGATCCTATGGTGCAAAAATACCACTGTTGGCCAATTGGGAGTCAGTCAATGCTAAATAAACACTATTTATTTTGAGGTTTTGCAGGATATTTGCTCGTTTCCGGTGTGAATGCCCACACTTTGGACATTTGTTATTCTGAAGTAGAGGATTTTTTTTTACTCTGCCCATTGTGCGGCGTGTATGTTTGACCATTATTTTTTGTAAAAATTGACAGATAAATTTGTGCAACTATTTTTCATGACAAACCTTATGGTATGATTTGCACCTAACTGTTGTATATTTTAATCCATTAATGTGATATATGACAAGTTTGAATGGACGTGTTCCAAACATCATCTATCTTGGAAAAGAGGTAGTTGTAGTTTTATTGACATCATATAACATGATGCAAGTAACTTTGCTTTTGATGTTGTTCATCATACTTAAACTGTGATTTATTTTTTTTGCAGAAATTTTATATTCTCGGAACTAACACTGACAAAACATTATGGAGATTACTCAAGATTGATAGAATGGAGCCATCAGAGCTCAACATAGATGAGGATTCTACCATGTACTCACACAGTGAATATCTTGATCTACGAAAAACTCTAGATGAAGACCATAGGTCAACTGGTGGACTCAATTTTGTTACAAATTGTTGTGGAATCATTGGTAAATTATCCCATCTTTCTCTGATAATGATACCATGCTAATAGATGGCAGTTCTTTTTGTTATGACTATGCATCAATGATAAATTTCCCGTACAGGTTTCATTAAGTTCCTTGGGCCTTATTACATGTTAATTATCACCGAGCAGAGAAAAATTGGTGCTATATTTGGCCATGCAGTTTACCAAGTTACCAAGACTGCGATGATCGAGTTATCTAATTCCAAAATGAAGCCAACACTTCTAAATTCCAACGATGAGAACAGGTATGTTGTATCCCATATATCAATATTGTCCCAGACTTCACATCAGTTCACAAAATTTGATTGCTGACAATATTTTCTATTTGTGAAGCATTTGATTTTTGTTTCTTGATATTTAATTATGTATTTCCTATACCCACATGCAACACTTTATGTGTCCTTATAAAACGATGTTTACTATGCGTGCAGGTACAAGAAGCTCTTGCAGACAATAGATCTTAGGAAAGACTTCTTTTTCAGCCACTCGTACAATATCATGAGAAGTCTCCAGAAGAATTTTAATGATCCACAGAAAGGATGGGACCTATATGACACAATGTTTGTATGGAATGAATTTCTAACACGAGGGGTTCGTAACATTCTGGAAAGTACCTGCTGGACTGTTGCGTTAGTCTATGGTTTCTTTAAACAGGTATATACCCCATGAGGTTGATCTCTTTTAGTGATGTCATATTCAATACAACAATTTGTGTGTACGGTAGATTGCAACCATAAAATGGATCCTTTATCTCAAGTACTGTGTCTGCATGGTCTGACAGATATTGGCGCATTAAATTTTTTCCCTGCTTATTTTCTTCATTTATTTTACTACTTAGTAAGGCATTTTTATTTATTTTCTGATGCTAGACTAGTAATAGTACCATTGTCTTCAAATTTACTTTCCACACTTAAAAATGTAAAATCATATGATAGTGACGAGGAGAGCCTACAAATATTGAGATACAGTTATAAGATGTGGCAAAACTTTATACCCTTCCAAATATTTTATCTATTGTAAGATATGCATCGATTGTGAATTCATTCTGTTCTATGAGAAAAACTTATCTATAGTAGACGTAGCAGAGAACACTTGCTGTATGATTAAATAACTTCATCTACTCGTAAGTGCCTCTTAGGAAATCATTTTCTTAATTGTATAATTATTTTATTTGACTTAATTAATTCAAGGATAAAATCAAAATATCTGGGAAGGACACTATGTTGACTCTCATTGCTAGACGATCGAGGCATTATGCTGGAACCAGGTTTGTCACTTGTGAAACCCTTTATTCTTATATATTTTTCCTGTTAGTTTGTTATCTGATTTGAATGGGTGAGATTCAAAGGAAATATGGACCATTGCATTGCTTGATCTCGCCACTTGTATTGAACAGGTATTTAAGGAGAGGTGTGAATGAGGAGGGCAGAGTAGCAAATGATGTCGAGACTGAGCAACTTGTTTTTGATGATACACTTGGACCTGAGCAAATAAGCTCTGTTGTGCAGAACAGGGGTTCTATTCCTCTATTCTGGTCCCAAGAGACATCAAAGCTTATTATTAAGCCTGATATCATATGTAAGCATTGAAATCCTTCTTTGCTGCATGGAGTATCATTCAGTTGTTTTAATTTGCTTGTTCTTTCAGTGCATGAGAAGGACAATAATTATGAAGCAACCAGGCTTCATTTTGAAAATCTTAGGAGGAGATATGGAGATCCCATCATCATCTTAAACTTGATTAAGGTAAGTCCCACACTGTTATTATGCGGTGAGACTTCTGATGGATGCTTCATGCCTTCATCCTTGAATGCGCACAGTCGACTTGCTTTAGTTTTGACTAAAAATATCTTCATGGGTGTTTAGACCAACCATGTGAAATAGACCGGGTAGAAATGACTCAGAAAAATACATCATTCTGCTATCTTTTACTTGCATATACCATTGTTCCGTTAGGTGTATTTACACTTATACATATTCCACACTGCTCTATACATATTCCACACTGCTTTACTTGCATACATCATCCTCTCAATGTTTAGTGCAATGTCGAACGATTGGAATACCCATAGGCCCACCAGTAAGTATGTGCTCTTATTCCAACTCTGACTCATTGTAAGTATTCCACCCATGTGGCTGCTTCTAGGCAAGCATATTATACCCAAGTTTGTACTTTGTAGTGTAAACACCCGAGCAAGGCAGCACCAGTGGCCTCCCCGACCGGGCCGGCGAGGATCAGTGTGGGGGTGGCGACGAGTCCTCGAGCACCTGTGGGTGTAAGAAAAGAGAAGTAAGGGCATCGAGGGAGAGATGATGGAGTCAAAAGAGTTTAACGGACATTAACTGAATCTAGAAAGAGCAGAGTGTCATATACATAGATACATCTAACAGAACAGTGACATGTGCGTAGTTCATAAAAAAGCTACAGCAGAACACAAGTTAGTAGTTGAACTAATGGCAAATGTGTAAAATCCCCTTGTTAAAATTATAATCTTATGAGGTTTCAAAAATAGATTACAATAGATACATCTAACAGAACAGTGGCATGATCGAAGTTAGTTTTGGAGACCTTCACTTATGTGGTTGAAGGTTACTTTAGAAGCTCATGCTCTCACCTTCTTTTTTGCTGCTATGTCAAGACACGCGAGAGGAGACCGCGGGAATCCACACTTCGTCAAGAATTTGACAAAGCAATAAAGATTATAAATAATGGTCTACCAGTCGAAAATCATTTGAGGTTTTTACATTGGGATCTTAATAAAAGCACTCGAAGGTATCAATTCTTTGTGCTGTACACCTCCCAGTTGTGGTTTATTAGATGCTTTTGACCATTACTGAAGCGAGTTTTATTTCAGCAAAAATGCAAATGCCCTCCAAGTACTTATGAAAGTGGCATTCGAAGCTTTGAACTTGACAGAATTCTTTTATTGTCAAGTTTCCTCAGCTCAAACACCCGGGAGCTCCCTTAATTTACATGCTCCATTGTAAGTAATTCTTATTCCGTAATGGTGTCTTTGCCATTTAATTTGAGCGTCTGTTATCTTTTACCCCATGAATAGGATACTGCTTTAATCCAAAGACAAACATTTTTGTTTGTGTTATCTCTGATTTTTTGTTTCACACCTTTTAGGAATGGTTGTGGTTTTCGTGGATGTGATGACAAAAATGACGGTGGCAACACAGACTGTATCGATAATAATGGTGACATATCCCAAGAAGATACATGTGGTAGTTCTGATACCTCCACTAGTGGAATTGCAGAAGATGTAGCCACTAACAATGGATCTACAACAATAAAGCCCCCCAAATTACAAAAGGGTGTATTGCGCACGAACTGTATAGATTGTTTGGACCGCACAAATGTTGCCCAGTTTGCCTATGGTTTAGCTTCTCTTGGACACCAGTTGCATGCACTTGGTTCTGTAGAATCTCCAGAGCTTGATTTAGACTCCCCCTTGGCCCACCATTTGATGCACTTTTATGAGCGGATGGGTGACACACTTGCTTTGCAGTATGGTGGTTCGGCTGCACACAACAAGGTACTCCTACAATGGAATCTTGTTGTTTCAGTAATTTCACTTGTGGTATGTTGCTTCAGTGTGTGAGATAAGATGCAGTTCCTTCACTCACGTCAATAGGAAGACTCAAAATTGAAATAGGTTTGATTATACTGCATAATTTTTTTTAGGGTTAATCTAGTTTTGCTCTTTATTTTAGGTTTAGTTTTCAAAGTGAACCAATTATATCAGGATAACTATATAGCCATGCATTTGTTTCAAGAAAATGAATTGAACCATGGATCTAAGTGGAGTTACAAAAAAATATTTTGGTTTTGAGGACTAGTATCCAATCCGTATACGAGAACTTGTTGCTTAAGTTGGGTATGACTCATAGCTCGAGGACAAAAAAAAGGCAGTCGTTTCACTGAGTTATGCTGATTGATGAGCCTCAGAAGGTCCAATATTACATTTTTCTTCATGTTCAGCTGTTCATTGGGCACTCATCTGATGAACCTACATGTGGTTTTATCTTTTATGTACAGATATTCTCTGCAAAGAGAGGGCACCTTAAGTTTGCTATTCAGTCTCAAGAGTTCTTCAGGACACTACAGCGATACTACAGTAATGCATATATGGATGCTTACAAACAGGCAGCAATAAATTTGTATGTTTGGTTAAGCTCACTGTTCACTGCACATCCCTTTATATACTTTTAATAAGAAATAGTATGTACTGAGTTTGTTATACTTGTTGTTTTTGCGTTCTTAAAATTGTAGATTCTTGGGTTACCACCGACCGCAGCAGGAAAAATTTGCACCTTGGGAATCAGAGTCTGTTGCTGGGGAGAACGTCCTTGATGACAAAACAAGGTAAACTTATATGGTGGTTATGATGGTTTTCTTGAATGCATGTGACAAGACCACAAGATATAAGCTTTTCCTTTTGATTGAACTACTAGAACAATGTACCCCCAATTTGGGTTACACGTGGGTGTTGGCCTTATACGTGAAGACGTGAAGTGCATTTATTTGTTGGCTAACAGCAACAGCATAATTAGTACAGTGCTACTAATGCTATTAACAAGAACTGGCCAGTAGTGCTTGCATGAGAATATGGGACCAGAAAGAAATTTAGACAAGTGGGTGCTAACTCAACCCTAGATTGTTTACTTCAGAAGTTCTGACCAGCAGAGTTTGATGGTTATCATTTTTAAATTCTGGAATTAAAAGTATGATGCTGGTAAAACTTGTAATGTATAGGGCATCTCATTATTGTGATAATATAAGGTGTCTTGTGTCATTCCACAGTTAACGACCAAGGAGAAAACAAAAGACCCCATCCAGTGAATACAGCTAGTTTCACCTGTGCCCTTGAAGTTAGGACAGAAAGATGTGTTTTTAGTCGTCTCATTTACCTTTTTGTAAGGTCAGCGTCTCCCTGTTTTGTTACTTTTTGTTCTTGGTATTACACTTGAATCCTTGTGTATTAGGTTCGCTAGATTTGATGTCCTGAAACAGAGTGAGTTGTCTATTGTTGAAAACAGTACAACCTGGTAAAAAACATCCGTACAAAATACCTTTCCGTAGTGTTTCCGAACTGATCTTAGGGCCACCTCATTAAAGAATTATCTATATTTTATTTTATCCTTACATGCATTTTGCAAATCAATAAAATCCATCTTACCAATTGTCCGAGTTGTATATTTGTCACAGTCAACTGATAAAAAGGGCAAGATCAGATGGCAGCATTCTTCGTAAAAGCAACACTTCTATGTCCAGCAATGGCCCAAATGGAATTTCAACACCAGGATTTGATGATTTAAAAAATGAGCTACAACCTCCTAACTGCCGGTCTGGTTCGGTGCATGATGCTGTGTCAAAATTAAGGTTTGTCTGAGTTCTGGTTCTGGAACTTCACCTTTCCATTTTCTATCAAGAGCATATACCAATGCATGCCTTGGTATACGAATGTAGTGTCTCGCAGAAATTAACATTTAATACTTATGGTATTGATTCTCTCTTTTCTATTGGAAACTACTGCAGGTATACTCCAACAGTGCCTCATACTAAGTATACCAGTTGCGAGCTTGACTATGGCAACTTTTCTGGGGATTCAAATTTCCTTGATCTTGACTGGCTTTCAGCTTCAGACAATGGAAGGTTGTTCATACTGCCCTGCTTTCCCTTTTTGATCCTCTATCTGTGTCTTTGAATGTATCAAGCTTTTTATTTGTTGCATTTGTACACATGCAGTCATGCACACAAAATGTGGAGAATCATTCGTCTAGCTTTTCCATTATTTCTGTTGCTATTGTTCTACATTTATCATTGAAGAATAAATAGTTAGCTTGCAAAAATGGTTGCTTTGAACACAATCTTTAGATCCTTTGTTTGTACCAGATTTCTATAAATAAGAGGCAACCTAAAATATTGTAATTGTTGCCATGTGTTCTCTGATCAGTCTGTTGAAGTGTCCATCCAATGCTCACTGAAACTACACACCAAACTGAGATATGTTAAGAAGAGATAGTCACAACCACTCTCTCTTATTCCATTAGCAAGAGTTTTATATAGGCAGTAGAGTATGGGACATACAGGCCATGCCATCTTTATACTTATACCGAACAAGATCTAGGATGAATATTTTAATCCGTTCTTGTTTTATTTGCCCATTTGTTCTACTATCCCTAATTGCAGTGACGTGACCATGGAACTGCTCATTAATACTGCACTTTCAAAATTGATATCAAGAAGATTTTTCTGCCCTTCTCACTATATTTATGTTGAACATTATGTTTGACAGTTTGAGCAGATCAAGAGCCGCAAGTACTCCTAATGTGAATGATAATGGTGCACGTGGTGTAACCCCTGGGATAACGGTTAGTGCAATTGATCAATCTAACAATCCTACTTGCTATTTGTGCATTACAATCATGGTTCACAAAACTTTCTTCTGCCCTAATTTCCTGGACCCAAGCTGAGAAACAAGCGCCATGTTCTCTTTCGTTTTATCTTGTTCCGAAGCTCATGCTCCCTCATCATGCATAAGCATTTGTCCACTCAAAAGAGAACATGACAACAACCCTCATTCTGGGATAACACCTTTTCTCCCCTTTCACTTGGTAAACAGTAGAATTGTTTCCTTCTGGAACTGCGAACCTGTACTTGTTGATTACAAATTGTTTTTTTTTTTGCTTCAAAGCATGATGATTGCATTGGCTGAATATCATTGTGATCATTTAGGGTAAAAAGAAAATATGCACACGGTGATATCATTTCATCCAACAATTAGTCATTTCATTTCAAATTTTCAGGAAGGTCACCTGGCAGAGATACACGCTCAAGGGTTATCTCACAATTTCCTGCAATGGGTTGATGAGGGAGAGGCTTTTTGGTACTGATATCATATCATGTATAGTCAAGCTACAGGATGGCTCCCAACACTTTATAAGGCTATCACGAGGAGAAGCCATTAGCATAATCACTGTGATTTGTGATCTCGCACTGTCACAGCCATCCAACTAGTCCTCTAGCGAAGTGTAAAATCTTGTTCGTCTACTGTTGGCCAGCTATTTCTTCTAGGGGTGAGTAGATAGGGATTGTTCTTATTTTTCTTAAAGGAAAGAAAGAATGTAGGTAGTGTATTATTCTTTGGAAAGTTGTACCATCGCTCGTGTTTCTACTGTGTAAATATATATGAACTGCTGACATTCCCCCCTGAGTTGAGGTGGTCTCGAAATCACCATTTTTCCCTCAACCCGTTAGCTGGGATATCTTGATACATGTACCTTGTATTCAACAAAACAGAGGAGATGCTATTGTGTATTTTTTTAAGTCCCTCGGAATCAGGGATACTTTTCTTCCGTTTGTTTGGTTTGTTTATCATGGCAGCCCTGTTTTCTTGTTTCTCGGTTTAACCTGCTCGCCCCTGCTTGTAGTGTGGCGGTAATCTTTCTCCAATTTGCGCTGCAATTGAATTGCCTCCCATTAAACTTCTAAAAGGTATGCTTTATTTTTAAAATCTCTTCAGTTGCACATTACTAAGCTGAAATTGAAGTATCAAAAGTTGTATGAAGTTAGCAAAATCTTGTTGCTTGATGTTACACTTTGCTTGTAGGCGCACGATGTATTGCCCATGAGTGCAACACTGTTAACTTGTATGCTACTATGTGTTATCTTTATAAACTGACAATATTTTGAAACTATTTTAAATGATAAATCCGATAATAGTGGCGCAGTGTCATCATGGAAATAAAATACAGTGTGAAACAGATGGTGGTTGGATATTGACCCTCACCTAAAAGGTGAATGGTGTTTTCTCTTCCAGGCAGAAATAGGCACTCATAATTCAAAACATATATTCTGAAATTCCCATGTTCAGCTTGCAGTGGTCTTTTTCGAAGGTTGGCAGGAGAGCTGCCAAATTCATTGATCTCCAGGAATCAACATGTCTGTAGGTGAGGTGCAGATGGGTCCTTCATCCTTGCAAGCTTCGGTTCGCCACGCCCATGCCATGTTGCCGGACACTGCTTGCGACCACAAGGCCATGGAAAAAGCAGATAACGCTCCAAATATAATTGGCCCGTGGCTTGAGCAAAGAGCCAGTACGACGGCATGGGTGCACTTTGGTTTGGTAGGTCTCTCACGTGCCCATGAGCCACGCCAGCCATGGCTTTTCCCGCCCTAGTTTAGGCATGTGATCCGATGCCACGGGCAACCCCACGACGCCCATATCATGCCGTGTTGGACTGCCCCCGTTTTCAGCTCAGCTTTTTGCATCGTCTCTGATCTGATGGCACGTCAGCGACAGCGACTCATCACATCATTAGCCAGACTGAATCTACTGGAGTGGTGACAGTACCACTGCTGTAACAGTGCATCACCGGAAAGTTTTGTTTTGCGGGGTATCACCCGAAAGGAAATGCGAGCGTCTGCTGTTAAAAATAAATATATATCGTGTAAAACTGTATTTGTTTTCCTAATAAATTGCCAAGAATCCCAATCTCTCAAAATACAAGACATTTTTGCAGTTCAAATTAAGCTGTAAAAACGTCTTATATTGTGATACTGAGATAGTACTTAGCAGTTTGACACACCTCTTTCGTCTCGCGCATTCACCAAAGGGGTGGCTCAACCTGTTTGAAGTCAGACAATGTGGCTTTCTGAAGGGACTACATCAACAAAATGGAAATGGTAAAGTAAAAGAGAAACTCCAGACACAACGCTTCTATTTTGTTTTTGAAAAAACCGGAATTTTCTAGCATCAAAGATGCTTGAATGTGCTAGGTGAGTGCAACTTCATAGACAAATGACATATTTCCCCCCCTAAATCTCCTCTGTTTGATACTCCCTTTGTTCATTATTATAAGATGTTCTAACTTTTTTTCTGATTCGGACGTATATGGACGCATTTTAATGTGTTTGTTCACTCCTTTCAGTTCATACGTGATTTACATTAAAATATCCAAAACATACTATATTTGTGAACGGAGGGAGTATTTTATAACGAAATTTTGCACACTTAGAATACTCGAACATCTTTTATGCCAAAAATTTCAGATTTTTTAATATTGTTGTTTCTGAAACCATTGTTCATGCGATAGCATATGAGCTCAGGATCATCGATGAAATACTTAAAATTTCATGGTACTTTTTTTAATTCGCCAGCAAACTCAAAATCTCTCCAACGTATCAAACCGGTGGAAATTTCCTGCAACACTAGAGATTATTTTTTGAGAAACCTGCAACACTAGAGATGGTGTTAGTATGTTAGGAAATTCATATTACATCAGCACCAAAATTGTTAGGACTTGGGGCATCTCTGATAGATGGACATCGAGCTTCTCTTAGAGATATCAAGCCTGACATTTGAGGAGAGAGAGAGAGAGAAAGAAAGAGAAAGGTTGCATTCTTTAGGTGAAAGCATGATAACTTTTTTTTGGCGGGTCGAAAGGATGATCACTTGACGCTTAGCTTTCTTTTCAATCGTGACACCATGTCTTACCATCATCATGAGTATTTAATTTCACCACCTTTTTACATCAGCATTTTGTTTTGGAATTACCCTGAGAAGATGATGGTAAGACGACCTTAGAGCAACTCCAACGCGCCGACCCAAACGGATGGTGTTTTTGTCCGCTTTTTGTCCGTTGGGTCGGCCACCCACTCGGGGTCCGTCCTGTTTGAGATTTGGGCCAGCAGTGCGCCCAAAACGCCGACCCATGTGTGCTGGTGTGGCCGGCTGGCTGTCCTTTTTTAACAAACAGCTCAATTTTTGCATTGTTTACTTTTGCATTCAAACATATAGTCGACAACCAAATAAATAGCATAGTTTCAACCAAATAAAATAACATAGTTTTACAAGCCGAATAAAAGTAAAAATGTCTTACATAGTTTTGCAAGCTGAATAAAAAAATACATCTATTGGTTGCCAACATGAGCGCACATATACTCAACCAAATCATTTTGCAGTTGCATGTGAGTTTTCCAATCATGCAAGTCATGAAGAAATTAGGTGAACTGTTCAAATGTTGCCGCTCCTCCATGCTCAGGCACAACATTCTCACCCTGAAACTGAAACCCTTGATCGTAGAGACATTCCGAGCGCTCATCTTCTACGATCATATTGTGCATGATCACACAAGCAGTCATCACCTCCCACAGTTTTTGCGTGCTCCAAGTATTAGCAGATACCGAACGATGCCCCATCGAGATTGCAAAACACCAAAGGCACGCTCGACGTCTTTCCTAGCACTCTCTTGCTCTTTGGCAAATCTTTTCCTCTTCTCTCCGACAGGGTTGGGGATTGTCTTCATAATAATGGTCCACTAAGGATAGATACCGTCACCCAGGTTGTATCTTTTGTCGTAGTTGTGGCCGTTGATAGTAAAGTTCACCGGTGGGCTATTGCCTTCGGCAAGCCTAGCAAACACCGGCGAGCGCTGAAGCACGTTGATATTATTGTGTGATCCGGCCATACCAAAGAAAGAGTGCCAGATCCAGATATCTTGAGACGCCACGGCCTCAAGTATGACAGTGCAAGCCCTGACATGGCCCTTATAATGCCCTTGCCAAGCAGAAGGGCAATTCTTCCACTCCCAGTGCATGCAGTCTATGCTGCCAAGCATCCCTGGGAAGCCCCTGCTGGCATTCATCGCCAACAAACGGGCTGTATCTTCAGGAGTCGGCTCTCTCAAGTACTCAGGGCCAAACACAGCAATAACAACATCTCATAACTTATATAGGGAGTCTAGGCATGTAGACTCGCTCATACGGACGTACTCGTCAATGAGATCACCGGGCACTCCGTATGCAAGCATTCGAATGGCGGCAATGCATTTTTGATAAGAGAAGAAACCAATCTTTCAAACGGCATCCTCTTTGCACTCGAAATAGTCATCATAGCGGACCACCCTCTCTCTAATACGGTTGAAAAGATGCCTACTCATACGGAAATGGCGGCGGAATTTCTGATGTTTGAACAACGGGTTTGTCGTGTCAAGGTAGTTCTTCCAAAGAAGAAATTGCCCGCTCTCTCGGTTGCGATTCAGTGCCGGAAGGTGCCCCGAAATGGAGCCACGAAACGACATATGTTGGCTATTGAGGTGGTGATGGACCAACACGGCAGCCAAGATCTCCTCATCATCGGACGAGGAATCGTCGGAGTCGCAAAGGAAATCATGAAGAAAGAACTCGTCGGTGGAGTCTATTTTGTACCTTGGCAAACTGTCGAACAGTTTGTGGGCGTCAACCAAGGAGACGGCCAGCGAAGGGAGTCACGCCGCCCTCGGACCAGCTAGCTGCCCTAGCGGTGTCCGACGAGCGTGCTGGTGAGGATCTGGACGGGGCGGCGAGGCGGTTTCTTGGTCGCAGTCGCGGCTGTGTCGGGGAGCGGGGGTGGGAAGCTTTCGGTTCCTCGGCGGCAAGACGGCGGTGGCGGGCGATGTGGGAGGTGGCGGCATTGCTGAGGGGATGTTGTGGTGCCGGCAGCTGGCAGAGCCAACAGAGAAATGGGCGGTGTGGGCGACGGCGATGACGACGAAGGAGGATGGCGAGTGCTTGTTGGAATGAGAGAGGATGGCCAATGTGCCACCGACCAGCGAGCCAGAAGGAGGAGAAGGCGGGCGCGCGCGCGTCCGTCGCTTGTCTGCGCCGACACAAATCCAGCTAAAAAATGAGCCGGAATGCGTCGGCGGTCGGACGAAAAGCGGACGCGCGTCTGTTTGGGTCGGCGCGTTAGGCCGATTATTTTGTCGGCACCGACTCAAAGGGATACGCGCGGACGAAATGGGTGGTCGCATTGGAATTGCTTTTAGTGATGGCAAAAACTACTCAATGGATAAGGATTTGGAGAAGGTGAAGCGTCCACATCAAGCGTGCGATGCGGACACCAAAAAGTTAGGTGATTTTTTTAGATTGGTAAAAGTTACGTACTCATTTGTTTGTTAACGGAGCCAAGAAAATTTAGCACTAGGCCTTTTTTACAAGGACTGCAGGAGAGTGACGATATTCGATATACCAAAGCA